AAATGAAATATGGTATATCTATACAACAGAATATTATTGAGCAATAGTAAGAAATAAGCTAAGTTGGGGGAGGGACAGAGAAGGAGATCAATGAAAGAGGTATCTTGATGGAAGGAGCCATTGTGGGGCTGTGGAGAAACCAGGTGCTAGGAAAATTCCCAAGAATCCACAAGGATGACCCCCAACTAAGACTCCAACAGTAGTGGAGAGGGTGCCTGAATTGGTCTTCCCTGTAATCAGATTAGTGACTACTCTAATTGTCATCATAGAACCTTCATCTGATGGAAGCAGATGCACAGGTCCATAGTCAAGCACTGGGCGGAGCTCTAGGAGTCCAGTCGAAGAGACAGAGGAGGGATATGGAGGGGGGGTCCAGGATCATGATGAGGAAACCAACAGAGACAGCTGACTGACCCAAGCTCTTGGGAGCTCATGGACTCCAGACTGACAACTGGAGGGCCTACATGGGACCAAACTAGGCCCTCTGCATGTGGGTGACAGTTGTGTGGCTTGGTCTGTTTGTGGGGCTCCATGCAGTGGGACCAGAATCTGTCCCTAGTGCATGAGCTGGCCTTTTGGAACCCATTCCCTATGGTGGGTTGCCTTGCTCAGCCTTGATGTGGGGGGAGGGGCTTTGTTCTGCCTCAACTTGATGCACCAGGCTTAGTTGACTCCCTTTCTGAGGAGTGAATGGGGGTTGGAGGACAGCAGGAGGAGAGGTGGGAGGGGGAACTGGTTGGTATGTAAAATGAATGGAAATTTTTAAATTTCAAAAAGAAATAAGCTATAGAGTCATTATTATTGAGCCCTGAAAATATAATTACATTAACTGAAATAAAACAATCATATTATATGATTCTATCACATTAAGTATTTAGAATTGATAGGAATTCTTTAGAACAGAAACCCACTAGTGTTTGCCCAGGGCTGGGGGATTAGGAAGATATTGGGGATGATTACTAATGGATACCAGTTTGAACTGATGAAAATGTTGCAAAATGAGAGCAGTAACATTTACACAACTCTGTAAATATAGTAAAGCCATTAAATTTTATACTTTAAATGAGTAAACTTTGTGTATGTGAATTGTATCTTAAGACATAGATCATAAAAAAAGATCCTTCCCTAATATTCTAAATTTGGCTGAAATATATGTGCTCTTCATTTTCTATCTTAAAGTCTCTACAGCCAATGTTGTAGAAGCAATCTTCATTGCTTCAAGATTCCCATCAATGTGCATTAAATGTTTTTTCCCTTATGTACTGTTTCTTGATATTAATGGATAACCTTAGAGATCTTACCCTTACCTTATTTTACCAAAAGTTTTGAAAAGGTATAAATACAAACATACATACTATTCAAAATTTTATAATAGTTCCGTTCTGCAACTTGGACTATTTAAAATAATTAAGACAGGCATAGTGATTCATGGCTATAATCCAATCACCTGGGAGGTAGAGATGAGAGGATCAGAAGTTCAAGATCATTGCCTGCTACAGTTGCAAGTTCTAGGCAAGTCTAGGCTACATCAGACCCTGTCTCAAAAGAAAATAAAATTTAAAGTACTACCTAATTTATCAAATGGAAACCATTTTATAAATAGCATTTTTAAATTATTTCACTAAATAAAATGTATGACGTATAAGACAGAATACTACATAATCAAAATACTAATTATTCAAAACCTGCCTCATCCTTAATTGTCAATGCTTTATAATCGATCATGCTAGCTTTATTTCTAAGTAGAAAACTGTAAATAATTAATGATCTTTTAAACTCTTTCATAGCTCAAAGAAATGTATTTTCCATTTCTAGAGCAATGTTTATCCATGGAACAGAACTATAGGTCTGATTTATATATTATATCACTTAATCCTTATAATAATCCTACGAAATGGGTACTATTAGCTTCATTTTATAGAAGAATAAATTAAGACTTAAAAGAGTGTAAACAAGACTGTTCAAGATTATAATGGGTTATAAGATTAGAATAGCACACATGATAAATTCTGATTCTTGTCATTATAGATTATTATAAGGAAAGTCTATGTTTTTAATAATATTCTTCAGTTCTTTTTCTTGTTTGTTTGTTTGTTTGTTTGTTTTTCCCGAGACAGGGTTTTTCTGTGGCTTTGAAGACTATCAGCTAGCTCTTGTAGACCAGGTTGGTCTTGAACCCACTGAGATCCACCTGCCTCTGCCTCCCAAGTGCTGGAATTAAAGGCATGCACCACCATGTCTTTAAACTAAACAAAGCATATGAAATATTTTTGTTCAGTATCTACAAATAAGCATTCTCCAATTATCACTACATACAAAGAATTACACAAAGAAACCCTGTCTCAGAGAAAGCGAGAATAACACTCTATATACTAATTAACACACTACAGTCCAAATACACAACAGTAATGTAAAACTTAAAGTGAATTAACAAACAAGTGTATCTTAGGCATCTGGAATATTAGTTTACTAAACTAAAGATGAAATGGAAAATAGGTGCACTATTAGTATCAATTTTTCCCATCAAATTTTTGCCCCCCAAAATTCAAAAGCATAACTAGTCTCAGATAAACAAATAAAGCTACTAAGTTTTAAGTCACACAGAATACACAAGATCTGGTTTTTATTTTTATTTTCCCCCAAAAGGAAGAATAGAAATGAACATGTGTCTTCACTGTCTATGATCACTTGCATCTCACAGACACTTTCTACTGCCCTGGGAGGGGTACTATTACTTCAAGAGAGTATAAGAAGCTGAGAACCTAAGTGTCACATTGCTCCTGTTCATATCTGACTCCATCTCCTCACTAAAGCATGCAATGCAATTAATAATCATAAAACGCATACATACCACCTCCTAGAAACAAAAAAACTTAAAGTCTAGGCAATTATCTTTTAATCAAGCAGCTTTGCACCTTGCAACCAGCCAATCTGTGGCTAGCACATAAGAGGAGCCAAATAAACTTTAGTGCATGGAATAAAATTGGTATCTTAGCAACAGAGGAAGAAATGGGACCACCCTTACTCATTCATTTGTTCTTTCTTCACTAAGGAGTTAATATAAAACTAGTACATTCCAGGCAACATATGCCATTACTTCTTTAAAGAAAACATTGAATCAGGAATTGGAAAAGAAAGGAATACTACATATGAAATTTTTGTTCTCAATTCTGGGAATTAAACCGAGAGGCTTGTACATTCTAAGCAAGTCCTCTTCCACTGAGTGACCTCCCATCCCTTGAAGGGCAAGATAGCGGATGAGACACAAAACCCTGAGCAGAGCTCTAGCTCATTTTACTCAATTACAACATCTTTCTGACCCTGTCTTGTAAGAGTTAATTAAACTTGTCCTGCTTCCACAATTAGCTAATTGCTTGCAGAAGCCTTGGTCATTTTTGTATTTCCCAGAACACCTAAGACAGAACCTGACATTACTAATAACTAACATTGTATAAAAATTTTATACACTATAATACTTTCTTCGAATGCTGTCTCCTAAAGCCTTCCAAATTAAGTAAACCAACTGCATTTTACAAACAATATTGAAGTTTATTAATTGCCAAGGTGAATGCTCAGATAGCCTTCCTTAATATTACCATAACAGGCTCTCAATGTTTGTTGATTGAAACAGCTGTCCCTCAAAACACAGTTTTTCTATCTGCGTTATAAAACCATTATCTGTTGCTATGAAAAACATCTGTAAGCCACTGAAGACAATTTTGCCAGAGAGGGGTAATTTTGTTCACCTAAGTAAATCTCTTAATTTTTATCAGTGATGTTCACATTTAGTAGTACTAAGAATCAGGAAGGTTGATAAAAATCACAATCTTTGAGTTACTGTTATACTCACAATTCTGCTGTAGGGGACCAGGAATCGCATTAAAATCAGCACTCCCAACTGATTCTAATATTGGTCTTTAGAGACACACTGAGAAAAGAACTAGACTTTTGAGACCTACATTAACCAAAATATCTAATCAATCCAACTTTTTACAGTTAGAAATGTTTATGCAAGATCTTACAAAGGCAAAGCTACAACACCTAACATGGAGTCCTCAAAATTCTTCACCACACTGAACCTCCTTAGACCTCTGGAGATTCCCATGCTGTATAGGAAGGTTAAGTCAGGAGTCTTACAAGTAACAATCCATGTTAACTAATGGCTTTATCTCCGGTAATTAGTAACATATTTCATACTTTTTTAAACAAATGCCTGGCTGTAAATTGGACCAGTCAGCATTTTTCACTTAATACTACTACTACTAATAATAATAATAATTTTACACCATCACCATCACCACGATCTCACTTTAAACTTTGAATGACCATCAAAACATACTATGACGTTATCAGTGATCGCTCTCTGGTTATTAAATAAGTACTGAACGCCGATACAGAACCTCTCTGTGGGTCCAAATAATTTACTATATATACATATTTTCATGAATCAAAGTTCTAGATGTACATATAAGTCCTATATAATAGGAAAATAATAACCAGTAATCACATTTATCCTAAACAAGCACCACCCTAATACTGATTTGTGGTATCAAACTACAATCACTAATTTTGTTTTTACATTATTACCAGAACAGAACAAATCATTTTCCTTTTACAACTGAGTCTCTAGCCCATTTTCATCAGGTCCTCGTTATTAGGATAATTGGCTCGACTTAAAATTCTCTTGCCAATCAATCGTTCCTTATTTAGGTGAACATTTTTGTACTAAGGACTGAAGCGTTAAAACATTCCCTGTCTCTTTGAAGGTGGGAAAGACATATTCATAAAAGATTTTTTTTTAACTGTGAGTGCTTAGCTAGGAAACTTAGCATGGCAAAGACGGGATGGGGCTTTCTCCAAGGCAGACCTCGCTCAGAGACAAGATGTAACATAAGAAGGAAATGATGAGTTAGAGGCAGGTGATGAAATTTCACCTCAAATAAGACGCAAAAGGCTGTGTCTCTAGCAGGAGAGGCGTGAATGCTACTCCAGGAGTTATCAGGGGCTCCGGGGCCCCGCACTCTCTGCACCTCAATACTCACCACTCCCCACCCAGGGGGTGGCTCTGCAGGACTCAGTATGCGGTGCAGGGAAGCCAAAGCTGTTTGCAAACAAGCGTCTCTTGCCTCCCGGGATGTGCAAGCAGGGCCCTGGGAAGGAAGGCACGCTCGGCCCCGCCCGGGACAAACGCGAAGGGCACCGGTGCGGCCGCCAGCCCGGTCTTCACATACCCGGCCGCGCCGGAACCCAGGCCCGGGCAAGGGCTTCTCGGCAGCGCGTGGCCTAGTCGCCCCCCGCGTGCCTCCAGCCTCCTGGGGGGCCCATGGAAAAAGGGCCAAGGCCCCAGAGCTGCGGGGTGCCCGCGGCGGCCGCAGTGCCAGGACGCTCCGTCCGCCCGGCCCGAGAGCTGACGCCAGGGCCCCTGAGCGACGCAAACCGGCGAGCCCCGCACCGCGGCGCGCCACACTCACCGCCTCTCCATGGCCAGGGGGTCGTCCCTCAGCCGCAAGCCTCCTCCTCCACCTCCTCCTCCTTCTCCTCAGCAGGGCTCCGCCGCGAAGCCTCGCACTCCTGAGGGGGCTGCGGTCGCTGCGGCGAAGGCCGAGGCCCGGCGCCCCTCCAGCCGCATCGGCTCCGGGGTCGCCTCAGCCACTCGGGTCCGGGGGAGCACGGTCGAGCGCGTTCGGGGGCGCAGGCTACGGCGGGACGACGGAGGCGCTGCAGGCAGACCGGCTCGGCAAAGCCTCCGGCGCCGCGGTGGCCGCTCCAGCCTCCCGCGCCGCCGGGCCACAGCGCCCCCTGGACCCCACGTCCCGCTACGGCGCCGGGACTGCGGCGGCCGCGCCGAGCACGAGCGGCAGGGAACGCGAGGCAGCGCGGCCTAGGGGTGGCTGGGGCCCCGTGTGCCCTGCGCCGCCCGCGGCCCGCCCCTGACGCGCCTTCCCGGGAGCCGGAAGCCGTCGGCTCCCCCCCACCCCACCCCCGTCAGACCCCAGCACCTTTCTTCCCTCCGGAAGGTATGTGAATTTTCTCGTCACTCGGACCCGCACCCGAGAGCGGGAATGTGAGGGAATCTCGGGTCATTTCTCATGGAGACGGGGTTCCTTTTAATCCCCTCAGTGCGTAGGCATGAAAGGAGAGTGACCCAGAACAAATCTTCCTTTTATCTTTTTCTAAGCACATGCACAATCCCTTCCCAAAACAGATAAAGGAATAATCTTTAACCTTAACTTTTTTGGAGCTACTGTGCAGATTCATTACAGAAATTTGCTACAGAATCCCTTAACCCCTAACCTTCCCCCCAAAATAGAGAATAAATAAAACGCTGACCAAGAGAAGAGAATAAGCAACGGGTTGTCCTGAAATTGATAAACAACTTAAAGGTAAGAAAAGAATCATCCTTTTACTAACCTAGCCCTGACCACCACTTCTGCACTACCCACCCCTTACCAAATCCTAGGTAAGACTCTGGAAGGACATTGTGGGTATATTGAGGGCTGTGCAATAATTTTGTCTACAAATGCCTCTAGGGCGCTAATGTCACAACCAAAAGCAAAGGACTGTCAGAAGGGAAATGGGAAAAGAAAAAAATGTCTAAAGACCTTGGTCCCCCAAATTTAAATTCCCAAGTACAGTGTGTTTGTTTGTTTGTTTGTTTGTTTCTTCGGGGTGCTATACTAGAAAGAGCAAGGACTTTGGTGCCAGGCAGAGCCTGATACCACTGATCCCAGTTACATCATGTATAGTTTTATGACCCTGGCAAGTTATGTAATATTTTGAACCTGTTTTCTTCTGCCTGCCTAGCTGGTTGTGAAGGTTAGGGATGGAATGACTGGCCTACGGTTCCAATTTTTTGTTAATTCCAGAACACCCTAACACTTAGTCATTCTTAACCTCGAGTTGTACCCATTTATTTGTGTGTGTGTGTGTGTGTGTGTATGTGTGTGTGTTCCTCATCAAAAGGTCATTTTTCATCATCCCTGGTCTGAGTGAAATTTACCTGAATTTCACTACAGTATTTATATAATCCTCCACTAAAGAAAAGAGCCTAATATACTGGATCCTTTGACATTCTACTGAACAGCAGATATCAAAATAGGATCACTACATTTTCTGCATAAAAATATTATAAGCAGTCTTGGCTTACCTTAAATTATGGTATAATAGTAACAAATCATGAGAAAATTACATAAGGACTTTAGGAACTGCTTAAGAAATAATTGAGCAGCCACCCAAAGAAAATATAACCTAGCAGCTCCCTTCTCATCAATGAAAGCTGTTCCTGCACAGTCCCAAGTCTTCCTTGCCACATACTTCTGAGTCACATTACACACAAAAAAATCACTATCCCCTTTTTATAACAACAGAAACAGGCTCAGAAGGAAACTGTGATTCATCCTCGCAACATCTCTGCAAATCCAGTACCTCGGTACCACCATTTTACTTCTGAAGTACATCCAACCGGAGAAGAAGCTGGAAGTCGACTCTAGGATTCCTCCAGTCTCCTATCTGATAATAGTCCTTTCTGAAATATTAAGAAAACATTCTTAGAGTAAGTTACTATCGACAAAATTTGCTATCTAGAATTGGGCCCTTTAATTTAGATCAGTTTGGCAACCTGACATTAGCACTCTCCTTTCCAAGCCTAGCTCACTAACACTGCAGAAAACCTGCATTTGTTTATGAATACTCATGACATCTAGGGTGTAGCTACTACATGAAGATGATTCATTTGTTCCCAGGACCAGTTTCTTCTTGCCTCACACTTTCTTCCCTTCTAGTCAAACTCTGTAGCTGGTGGAAGCTGCTTGATAGTAGTTTGCTTAAAATCTTTGTCATATGCTGGCCAGATGGCTCAGTGAGGTAAAGAGCCAGGCCAGTGATCTGAGCTCCATCTCTGGAACCCATATGGTAGAAGGAGAGAACCAACTACCCCAGGAGGCATGCATGTGCCCACAGAGTTAAAAAAAAAAAAAAACCCTGTTGTCTGCTGCCATGACTCTTTCCCTCTCTTCCTTACTCATTGTATTCTCTGCCCCTGGCCTGTCTCTGACCTGCTCCTTCCTTTACCAATGATCTCTTTTTATTTTAATCTACTTCAGCTTGCTGTCGGTTATTTTGCTTCTCCCACTCTGATTTTGCGCTGATCTCCACCACTCTCCAATCACTTTAAAGTATATCATAATTCCCCGTTTTTGTTTTTCATACCATAGACATCCTTCAGAAAGCCAATATTCTAAGAATGTTTTCAAGGGAGTTTAGGATCATCCCTAATAGAATTTTCTTTGTTCTTTAAACTTCGGATGAAGCCAGGCATGCCGGCATCCACCTGTATACACCTGTATATCTGTTTATTTCAAAGGCTAAGCAAAAGGATCACTATTGTACAGGAGTTTGGATCCAATTTAGGTAACATACAATAGTCCCATCTCAAAATTTTTGAGTGAAGGAGGGGAGATACCAATGACATCATCATCCACCAGGTACCTAGTCCAAATTCTGGTGATCATATTTAATTGTTATCACTCACTACTGGATACAAAGCCTGTCAAATTTTACTTCTTGTTTTGTTTTGTAATTACGATCCTCCCCTCCAACTCGGTGCTGACCTTTTGGTCTAGGATATTTGGTAAATAAATTATAAGTTTACAGAAGGAAAAAGGGAAGGGAGGAAAGAAGAATAAATGAATTTTATACTTGTGAACAAGAGTATATGCTATATAAATTTTGTTGAAAGTGAAACATAAAACCTCATCTGTGCTCCTTTTAGCCCTGTACTTTCCCAACTTAACAACTCTTCATCAATACAAGGTCAACACATATTTACTTGTTTGTCTCTCTTCCAGATTGGTCCAGAGGCAGTGTTTTAATCCTCTCTGCATCCCTAGAACTGGTCTCAGCATGGGTACTGTTATGCTGAACTAGATAGCCTACATCTTACCTGCTCAGTGACTTTTTAAGACTTGCCTTCAATTTTCAGGACCTAAAATAAGAATTCCCTTTGAGATGTATAGCCCAGAACTGAACCCAGCCTACTGCTGACAGCTGTGATCTTTCACATCCTTCTTCCCTCATCAAATGCTGCCTGGAGTCACACCTGAAATTCCGAGTCTTGTAGAGTGGATAAGCCCCAGAGTAGGACAGAAGTCAGTTAAGCATCCCAAACTGAAGAAGGAACCTGGGGATATCCAGGAGCTTGTTAAACCACCTTACTCACTTAAAAAAAGATCAAAGTAACCTGCAATATGGCTCAGGGGGTAAATGTACTTACCTCCAAGTAAGTACCATGTGGCTACTAGGTCATCAGGCTAGTAGCCACATGGTAGCAGGGCAGAACTGACTCCTTCAAGTTGTCCCTTGACCTGCACATTTCTGACCTATTTACACACACACACACACAAAGAACAATAGTTTTTTTAGAACAAAGCAATTTTAGCTTAGGAATTGAACACAAAGAAATAGCCAAATGTATAAATAAAGATATGTAGATAGATAAATATATAAAATAAGTATACATAAATGTTTGTTTTTATTATATAATAAATAACATAAATATGTTATTATATATGATATATAAAAATGTTTTTGGCATGAAAAATATGAGGATAACCTAAAATAAATTAAGTACATTATCACCACAAAAATATTGGGCATCCATTAATCTTTTTTTAAATAGATATGTGTGCAGCTGTGTGAGTTTATGTGCACCATGTGCATTCAGGTACCCAAGAAGGCCAGAGGCATCAGATCACCTGGACCTAGAGTTACAGGTGGCTATGAAGCCCTTCCAGTTGGTGCTGGGAACTGAACCCTGGTCCTCTGAAAGAGCAGTGAGCGTTCTCTTGTTTTGTTTTTTTAGTTTTTGGAGACAGGGTTTCTCGGTGTTGTTTTGGAGCCTGTCCTGGAACTCACTTGGTAGACCAGGCTGGCCTGGAACTCTCAGAGATCCACCTCTTCTGCCTCCCGAATGCTGGGATTAAAGGCATACACCACCAACACCCGGCCAGAGTTATTTACTTATATGTACAGTGTTCTGCCTGCATGTATGACTGTATGCCAGAAGAGGGCACCAGATTTCATTACAGATGGTTGTGAGTCACCATGTGGTTGCTGGGAATTGAACTCAGGACCTCTGGAAGAGCAGCCAGTGCTCTTAATCACTGAGCCATCTCTCCAGCCCTAGAAGTGAGCATTCTAAACCACTGAGCCAGCTCTCCAGCCTTCAGTAATTGTTTTAAAATTATTTTAGATGGCATTGAAAAGTGCTCTTCATTCAATACCCAATTAATAAAAGTATAAAGTAAAAAAGTATATATATATAGTATAATTGAAGATTAATTTTGTTATTTTTAGTAGATGTGTCAATGTGTGTGCCTGTGTGCCAGTCTATACAGAGGATTGCAGGTGCTCTGAGGCCAGAGGTTTCAGATCCCTTGGGGATGGTGTTAGAAGTGGTTGTGAGCCAATGGCATTTGTGCTGAGAACCAAATTCAGTCTTCTGCCAAGACCAGTACAAACTCTTAACTACTGAGCCATCTCTCCAGTTCCAATGTATATATATTTAGGAAGGAATAATTAAAATGTTGAATGCTTGTGGGAATTTCTTACTTTATAATTTGGAATAATTTTTTATTTAAAAGATTGCGAAAATTAGTACCACCAAATCTCATGTAGTTTCACACATATCTACATTGGCTTTAGCATACTTTCTCTTATTCTGTTTTTTTCTATCTCAATAAGAGATAGATGTATAAATATACATATAATGTTTACATCTATTATAAATAATAGATACGTAGATGTGTATAAAAATATATATCTGTAATTCTTTTAAGTTTTTTATTTTTTAAATTATAATTATGATGGGGCAGTGGTGGGTCACACCTTTAATCCCAGCACTCTGGAGGCAGAGGCAGGCAGATGTCTGTGAGTCCAAGGCTAGCTTCATCTGTAATCACCAACTAGGAGACTCATCCTTGAGGAAGACTATTTCTCCTACTCTTAACTTTCCTTAGTTGCCTGTTGTTCTTTGTGTATGGGTGGGGCTCTGTGAGAGTTCCTGTTTCAGTGTTAACTTGTCTAGGGGTGTGTTTCTACAGGTCTCGTTTAGGCAGCCATATTGTTGAGGTGAAGTTTCCCTGTCATTTCTAGGAGACACAATCTCACTCAGCTTTCCTGGTCTTCTGACTGTTATAATCCTTCTGTCCTTTCTTCCATGATGTTCCCTGATCCCTAGGCACGGGAGTTGTATTGTAGATATATTAGCTAAGGCTAGACACCCCAGATCGCTAGTTCTTTGTAGTTATTGTTGTTGTTGTTGCTGATGCTATTGGTTTTTTGAGACGGGGTTTCTCTGTATAACAGTCCTGGCTTTGTAGACCAGGCTGGCCTCAAAGCACTGCCCAGTGAATAATTATTTTCTAATCCTTTGTTCCCAAATATTTTAGTGTATTTCCTCAAAACAGTACAGATACAGTATAACTGTAAAGATTAGAAACATTATATTAGTATAGTATTATGATCTAATCTATGAATTTACTCAAATTTTGTCAATTGTCTCACTAATATTCTTTTTTTTTTTTTTTTGGTTTTTTCGAGACAGGGTTTCTCTGTAGCTTTGGAGGCTGTCCTGGAACTCACTTTGTAGACCAGGCTGGCCTCGAACTCACAGAGATCCCGCCTGCCTCTGCCTCCCGAGTGCTGGGATTAAAGGCGTGCGCCACCAACGCCCGGCTACTAATATTCTTTATAGAAAAAGAAAATAATTATTGGGCATGGTAGCACAAGCAGGTGAATCTCTGTGAGTTTGAGGCTAGGCTAGTCTGGTCTACATAGTGAGTTACAGGCCAGATAGGGACTATGTAGTGAAACCCTATCCCCACCACCACCAAAAAAAAAAAAAGGGGGGGGGACTTTTTTTATTTTGGTCTAGACTACAATATGGGATCATACATAAGTAGTTGTTGGGGGCAACAGATGGCTCCATGATTATATATTTGCTGCTCTTCCAAAGGAACCAAGGTCAATTCACAGGAGGCTTAAAACCACCTGTAACTCTCACCTCTTAGGGATCCAATATTCTCTTCTGGCCTCATCAGGTACCTCGTATCATGAGGCATGCATACATACACACACACACACACACACCCAACGGGGGGGGGGAAAAATAAATATTTTAAAGATAGTTTTAAGTTTCTTTTTTCTTTAAGCTGGAACTTGACAATCCTGAGCAATGTGTTTATTATGTAAGCTTTTGTGTCTCCATAATTAAATTCAAGGTATGCATATTTGCAGGAATATTGCAAAGCTGGTATATGGTCTCAGTGAATCAAATAAGATGTGTGATACCTGTGTGTCCCATGACAACAACTTAGTTCATTTGTTCAAAGTGCCATCTACTGGATTTCTCTACCATAAAAATGCTTTCTATCTTGTTTCTTTTTTCCTTTTATTTTTGTTTTGGGATTGGAAGTTTATGCATGTTGCTTAGGACTATCTCAAACTCATAGATTCAAGTAGCCCTCTGCTCCCCCCCACCCCAGGAGCTGGGAC